CGCCGCTTGGCGCCGCGACACGGCGCGTACATGACAGTTTAAAGTATCACACACCAGACGTGCACATTCGAATGATATTTAACATGAAACTAATCAGATGGCGCTCTGTGGCGCGGCTGAAAAATGAACTGCATCCTGAGCCGTCGCCGGGCGCCGCCCACAGCCGCTGACTTGCGGCGCCGGTGTGTGTATCGTGATAGAAACCTATGTTTAGAATTCTAAAATACATGGCGTTGCGTGGCGCTGCGCGGCGCGCCACAGAGCAGCGCTTTTGGTTTGCGACCTGCTTGAGTGCTATTTTTATAGTCCATGTAACAAGTCTATGACAATCCTTCGGCTGTGCGTATGCAGTAAGTGATGATCAGGAACCGGTTGTATGATTGTGGTGCATTACTTGGTCTTGTAGTCCATAAATGGCAGATTTGTAGACTACTAATGGCAGCCGCAAGATCACTGGTGATCATAACAATGCGTTCCATTCGTTTCTCATCAGCAGTTGCTTCAGTGTCTCGTTTCACTGCCACAGGTTTGAGCTTTATTTCATACTACCCTGAACTATGCCTTTGTTTGTTGTGAATACACGCCATCTAGTGGCCAAAATTACATACTGTGCATTTAAGAGCATGATAAGACAATGTATTAAATATTGCTTTTGTTCTAGTTTCGAGAACATAGCCAGATGTTAAGATAATAGCGTCACTCAGTAGGATCTGCCTAAGAATGCAAACCTATTACTTTCCTCTTTTTCAAGCTCTGGAGACTTTCTCAAGTGTGAGATGAATGAACTCCCCGAGCAGCACAATGGCGCCTGCACAATAAACACTTGAATCAGGTATATAAACAGCTCAGAGAGGCCGTCACACACTCTTTCTGATTGGCTCTTCTGGGATTCCTGATTGCTGAAGGAGATCACGTGAGGAGCCCGAGGGGAAACCTGTGATTGATATACAGGAAATGAGAGATTGAACCAGATCTCGACCCGAGCTGATGGTGTGACTTGATTAAGACGCGTTCGTGGTGTGTGTTTTTTTACTGAAAGAGCACAGTGTGGTTCATTGAGCTCCTGTGGTTTCATCTCCTTAATGCAAAGAGGCCAGTCGTTGTTTTAACCCAGGTACAACCCGGTTTAAATAAACTAGTCGGTAATGCTTAAATTCAGCATGAAGCGGAAGTTTCAGTCCTCGTTTGTTCTCTGTTGTGATGTTATCCAAGTAAAATGGCTTGCCGTAGGAGTAAGACGGTATAGTGGGATTTGGTTTTGTCAGTAGGGGAAATACACTTTGATGGTTATATAGTCTTCTTCTATTGGTGGATCTCAATTTATTGACAGGTTGATCCCGCCCACTTCCCACAGTCTAAGAAATAAATCTCTAAAATGACAGAAAAAGGTACTGACAGATTATTTCTTACTGTAAATTTTCATAATCTCAACAGGCGATACATCATTTCAGGCTATTAAAAAAGTCAGCTAGATTAGTAGGCTAAAGTTTGATAAGGAACTTTGATGTTTGCTTGAAAATTCCTGGTCTGAATAATTTTAATAGTTTGAAGGACTGAAGCATACTGTAACGAAGAGGCTGACACAGAGGGATCCATTTGCAGTATATTTATTAAACACAGTTTAAGAAAGACAAGGACACAGATGTAATGTGTGTGCGAACTCACATCAAACACAATAGTGTTACGTAGCAGGGTTGAAGGCAGGTAATCACAGTATGAGAGTTCAGGCATGGGTCTGAGGCAGGCGGCAAATATCAAGGTCGGTGTTCAGGCTAGAGTTCAAGGCAGGCGGCTTGGATCAAAGTCGATAATCAGGCAGAGGTACAAGGCAGGCGGCTGGCAGGATGAGGAACAAGGCAAGGTAAGCAGCGGAAAAGCAGGCAGAGTAGAGAAACACTCAGTAGTGTTAGCCGGGGCAGAACAAGACTTCGCAATGAGTGAGTGTGTGTGTGCTGCTTATAAGCGTGAGCGTGGGTGATGTGCTTCAGGTGTGCAGGCTATCAGTGTAAGTGGATGACGTAATGGTTAATAGTCCGGGGATGGTGACCTCTGCTGGCCAGCGAGGGGAATTACTGGGACCGAGTCGGTGACACATACATAACATTGCAATGTTTCTGGCGTGCCTTATCACATGGCCATCATGTTGGTAGAACAAATGAGCATGTTGCAAAAATGGTTTTAGCATAGTTAGCACTTTGTTACTACGAAATATTGTATTAGGATATTGCAGGCATTTGTCATGGATGAATTGGCGTGTTGTTAGCATTTCGTTTGGGTTTTCCAATACTAATTACTTTCCTTGAATTTACTTGAATTAGCATGTATTTTATGTATTTTAGTAAGAATTTAGCATGGTTAGCATTTTGTTACTGCGAACTAGCTTGTTTCTGGCATGTGTCATTAATTGGCATCTTTTTAGCATGCTGGCTGCTTTTCTATTATTAATTACACTTCTTGGGATTCATGACATTAATTAGCATTAATTAGCATGTCTTTAATATGAATTGGCATGTTTTTAGCAAGCGTTTCAACGAAGTCAACATGTTGGTAGGCTAACTGTGCATGTTGCTAAAATCAATTTAGCATTGTTAGCATTTTGTTACTACAAATAAGCTTGTTTCTGTCATTTGTCACGCATAAATTGGCATCTTGTTAGCATTTTGATAGTTTTTTCTAATTCTCGTTACATCTCTTGAATGCTTCATGATTTTTAATAACTTTAAATAGCATGTCTTAATTCTGAATTAGCATGTTGTTTAGCCAGCATTACAACATGGTGAACATGTTAGTAGTCTAAATGTGTATGTTGCTAAAATGAATTTAGCATGGTTAGCTTTTTGTTACTATGAATTAGCTTGGTTCTGGCATGTGCCACACATGAATTAGCATGTTGTTAGCATGTTGATAGGGTTTTCTAATACTAATTACATTCCTTGACAGATTTGTTTTTACTTGAATTTACTTGGATCCACGTTTTTACTTGGATTAGCATGTATTTTATATGAATTAGTAAGAATTTAGCATGATTAGCATTTTGTTACTACGAATTAGTTTGTTTCTGTCGTGTGTCATGCATGAATTGACATGTTGTTAGCATGTTGGATGTGTTTTCTATTATTAAATACACTTTTTGGGATTCATGACATTGATTAGCATGTTTTTAATATGCATTGGCATGTTTTTAGCAAGCGTTTTAACTAATTGTGTGCTAACTGTGCATATTGCTAAAATTATTAAGCATGGTTACCATTTTGTTACTACAAATATTAGCTTGTTTCTGTCATGTGTCATGAATGAATTGGCATCTTGTTAGCATGCTTGATAGCATGTTCTCATACTAATTACATTTTTTGAATGATTTGTGATTTTTAACATTAATTAGCATGTCCTAAATATGAATTAACATATTTTTAGCAAGCATCACAACATAGTCAACATGTTAGTAGTGTAAATGTGTATGTTGCTAAAATGAATTTAGCATGGTTAGCTTTTTGTTACTATGAATTAGCTTGTTTTTTTTACATGTGCCACACATGAATTGGCATGTTGTTAGCATGTTGATAGGGTTTCTAATACTAATTACATTCCTTGAAATATTTCTGTTTTTTTTTTTTTTACTTGAATTAGCATGTCTTTTATATGAATTAGTAAAAATTTAGCATGGTTGGCATTTTGTTACTACGAATTAGCTTGTTTCTGTCATGTGTCATGCATGAATTGGCATGTTGATAGCATGTATGTCCTAATAGGCTACATTTCTTGAATGATTTGTAAATTTTAACATTTATTGTCATGCATATGAATTAGCATGTTTAATTTTAACATGTCAAAATGTTGGTAAGCTAAATGCGCATGTTGCTAAAATTAATTTAACATGGTTAGCTTTTTGTCACTATGAATTTGCTTGTTTCTGGTATGTGTCAGACGAATTAATATGTTGTTAGCACGTGATAGCGTTTTGTAATAATAATTACATTTCTTGAATTGTTCATGAATTTTAACATTAGCATGTATTCAATATGAATTAGCATGTTTCCAGCAAGCATTTCAACATATCAAGCTGTTGGAAAGCTAAATGCGCATGTTGCTAAAATGAATTTAGCATGGCTAGAATTTTGTTACTGTAAATTAGCTTTTGGCATGTTTCACACGTGAACTGGCATGTTGTTAGCATATTAATAACAATTTTACAAAATTACATGTCTTAAATGACTAATTTTTAAAATATTAAATAGCCTGTTTCCATCAAGTTATCATATTGTTTGCACTAATATAACTTAACACATTCTTTCTAATATGACCTAAAACATTAGAAGCTATTTTAACATGATTAACGTTTATGCTATTTCATGAATTGCTATAGCTAGCGTGAATTACTACATTCCAAGCCGGTATTAGCATCTTTAAAACCAAATGTTTCTGACACAAACTGGTTCATTTCTAGGATGCTATCACTATGTTTAGCATATTTGCTAACACATATTTTGCTTAATTAGTAGCCTATATAGTTAGCCATGAGTTAGCATGTTGTTAACATCTATGTGCCTAGTTGTAAGTTTTTGCCAGTGACAAATAGTTTGATCAACTAGTTACTTTAAATCTCTATACTAAAAAAAAAAGATTAAACCAGCCTAGGCTGGTTGGCTGGTTTAAGCTGGTCGACCAGGCTGGTTTTAGAAGGGTTTTGAGCATTTCCAGGCTGGTTTCCAGTCATTTCCAGCCTGGTCAGGCTGGGAGATGACCAGCTAAAATCAGCTTGACCAGCCCTAATTAAATAGATAATTGTGGTTTTCTGTTGGTAGATCTCACACCGCTAACATGTGACCGCTAACATGTCATCTTAGAAGAGACAGAAGTCTGTCAATTAAAGATTCATATAAACATCAAAAAACATTGTAATATTTTCTGTTGACGTTAATAGTACATATGTGTAAATGGGAAATGTAATAAAGCTATTTGCCAATAATAGGACAGTATAGCTGATCTCTCACTCTCCCCAGGGTATCATGGGACAGCAGTGGTGGAGAACTGCACATCTCCAGCCCTGGTGCCAGTGATGTGGGCATCTACAGGTGCACCTCCACCAATGAACTGGGCTCAGATTCAGAAACAACACAAGTTCTGTTAGCCGGTGAGACACTGCACACTTTTATCACAAGGACTCTCAAAATCTATTGTTTCAGAATGTCATGAAATGCATGAAATAAATCATGTGTAATAATAAGTGCTAGTTTACTCAGAATAAAGCTTAAGGTAACACTTCAACTCAAGTACCAATTCTCCCTATTGAATCGTTGCTTATGAGCTGCCTAATATTAAGACATTGCCTGTTTTGTAGTACTTGTACATATTCTGCATGACTTTATTCTACCTTTCTATATCTTGCCTCAATCAAACCTTAACTATTAATAAGCAGAAAATTAGGAGTTTATTAAGGCGACAATAATAGATGGTTTATTATAAAATGAGCTAGTTTTATTTTATAATATATATATATATATATATATATATATATATATATATATATATATATATATATATATATATATATATATATATATATATATATATATATAATTTATTTATTTATTTATTTTTTTTTTCTGTGCAAACTGATGCATTTTATTTTTTTAACATTCACAATTAATAAAAATTTCAGAACAGCATTTCTGATCAAATATTTGTGGCATTATAAATGCCATTATCACAACTTTTAGTTTAATTCTTTTTATTGACAATTTTCAATCAGAGAGGTACTACAAGTAAGGGAAAGAAAAACCACAAAACCTTATTTTCACAATGTTAAGGAAAAAATACTGAGTGGTTATTAAACACATTCTTTACTCTCTGAACCACATTGAGATGGAAATAAAGTAAACAACAACAACAACAAAAAAAGGAACAAACAAACAAAAAAATACATACACAAATAAATAATAATAATAATAATAACAATAATATATTAATAATAATAATAATAATAAATTAACAAATGACACCCAAGTAGGCCATTACTGTTAAATGTAAAAATATCACATAATTTCCTTTTCAATTCAATTTAATTCAATTCAGCTTTATTTGTATAGCCCTTTTGCAATGTAGATTGTGTCAAAGCAGCTTCACATAAATGGTCATAGTAACTGGAACAGTGTAGTTCAGTTTTTAGTGTTTAAGTTCAGTTCAGTTTAGCTCAGTTCAGTGTGGTTTGAAATCATTACTGAAAGTCCAAACACTGAAGATTTTCAGTCCTAATACACTCTTAAATAAGTTTGTATCAATAAAAAGCAAGAGGGGAAAAAAGAAAAAGAAAAAAGACAGATACAGACAGGGTTAAATATGCAAGACGGGATATATAAAGCTAATTTTTAATATACAACAGAAAAGGTTGCCAAGCTGTATAAAAATTCTCTGCTTTGCCATTTATTGTATATCTAATTTTCTCTATATGAATGAACTGCAACAGGTCATACATCCAATGAAAGTAGTTTGGCGGAGAAGGTTTTTTCCAGTTCAATAGGATAATTCTTTTGGCAATCAATAAGCAAAAGTCTAATACATTTCACTGCAAAGATGACAGCGACACATTTGTAGGATTGAGTCCAAACAATGCCACTAAAAGACACGGTTCAATTTTTATAAGAGCTAGTTTTATTTTAGACAACTAATTTAGCTTCATTTTAATATATTTAGTGAATGAAAGATTGCAAACAGTTCAGTTGTTTGCTGTTTTTGTTTGTTTGTGTTGTTTTAGATACTGTAAGTATAGAATGATGAATATTTATGTTTTGGTGTACTGTTTAATCTGATGGAGAAAGAAAGAAAGATCTAAAGAAAAGCCCAATTTTAAAGTCTCACGAGCTTATTGTTTTCTAAAATAAGTATTGTGGATTGAACTCAGTTGTGTTCTGCTAGACCCCCAATAGTGACTCCATTTCATGCCATTTTTAAACAGAAAGTCCCACGATCGCTGCCTCACGCAGAAACACATCAGATCTGAAGAGTACGAGCCTGAAGGTGGTGGTTGGAGGTGTTATCCGGGTCCGTTCTGGTGCCAACCTCACCCTGGAGTGTCCCGTCAAAGGTGAGTGAAGATTATTACAGAAATTACTTTTTACATATTTAAAGAAGTCATCATATGTCTATACAGGGCCGGAGTGGGACTCCTTTTCAGCCCTGGAGTTTCAAGCCTCAGACCGGCCCACCTCATTTCACGACTGACTATATTAAAATAAGGTCGTTTCCAAATCAGTTTCTAATGACACTATCACGTCTTGTTTTTTGAGAAAACAGCTGCTTTAGAACTTCAAATGTTTAACAACCCTAACAGTATTACATGTCTTAACAATAAAAATGAAAACAATAAATTGCTCTAATGAGGATCGAACCTGGGTCTGCAGTGTCTTAACCTAACGTGTTAACCGCTGGACCACAACAGCTGTGTATGGTGCTGAGACACAACTGAGTTTTATCATATGAATAAAAAGGCTGTGGTCAAGTAAATAAATAAATTTAAAAAGTGTGACTGCTGAGAGCAACAGATTCTGGAGCTAGGGACACCGGCCCTCGCGGCCAAAAAACGGACCGGCCCACCGGGAATTCTCCCGGTCCTCAGGATTAGCCAATCCGGGCCTGTGTCTATATTATTTATTAAGGATGTAATGGTGTAACGCCCCATTCACACGGGCCATCAGTGTCAACGATTCCCATTCACTTTGAATAGGTGATGTCAGGCGTTGCCGAACTGCATTGTGGATCCGTCGGCGCTGCTTCAGTGGTGTTGCTTGCTGCAGAAGTTGGGAATTTCTCATCTTTTCAAGCGGGCAATGAATGCGTCAGACAATCAGATCGCTTTCTGCAAATATACCAGCTCAGACAGTAGCCGATTGAAGACTAATTTCGACGCTGAAGCCCCGTGTGACTCTTGTGTAGCATGTCACAGTTCAGTTCATATACTCTGATGAAGAATAGTCAGTCTAGAAGTGCTAGTCATTAAAGCAACCCAAGCTCATTCTGGAAACGTAGCCCCGCGGACATTTCTGGAGACCGCGATTTACGTGGCCGGAGGTACGTACGGCCGCGTTTAGTTTTTCTCGAGCGAACGCTACGGGGCTGTGTGGCGCCGCTCCGCTCCTCCTCTTCGCGCTCGCCGGCCGACGGCTCGCCTCCAGGTGGAGGGCTTTCCCGCTGCTACCAGTTTGTCAGCTTAGCTCGCAGCGTTAAGTTGGCGGAGCGGAGGCCCGAAGGAGGAGGAGCCGGCCACTGGAACGACCGGGATCGGGTTCGGGGAAGAGCGGTTCCAGAAATGAGGTAAGATGAAAAACAGAATCTGAAAAATAAGGGCAAGAACGTGGCGGGATCCGAAAACGCGGTTGAAATCGAAGACGAGGGCTTTTGCTTTTTTTTTTTTCTGGACAGCTTTTGCAAACCGTCACTTGGGTTTAGAGAAGGAGGAGGAGGAAGAGGAGGGCGGCCGGGTCAGCCGCCCGGGTGATCGTTCGGCCGGCCGGTCGGACGGACGGACGGACGGACAGACTGACGGACGGACAGACGGATGGACGGTCGCTCCACAGCGGCCTCCGGCGGCTTTTCGCGCGAGAACAGTGCGGGCGCGAACGGCGCGCACTCCAGAGAGGCGTTCGAGATGCGAAAAGCGCGCACAGCGGCCTCTCGCAGATCCACGAAAACAAAAACCGCTCGAATACGTTTCTCCCGGGACGTATTTCGCAGTCCGCAGAAACGTCCGCGGGGCTACGTTTCCACAATGAGCCCAGGTTGCATTAAAGTTAATCAGGTAGACTTCCAACTAATTATTATTTATCTATTTCATTTCATGTACATATCACTTCATCCTTTGTAAGACAGAGGGTTCTGTCATACACATGGCTCAATAAGGCACAAGACATGTAAGATGTGATTTGTTGCTATTTTCAGACCAGCGCAACTCTAATTTTCACGTTTTGCACCACGTTGTTTAAATAGCCAGGGTGGAGACCATATTTTTCCGTCCTTAAAATAGCAAAAGTGATTCGGACATGGACCTGATGCTTTTGCGCCATCTGCTTTAGACTTTGCACTTAGATCATTAAAATAGAGCCCAGAGGGTACTGGCAAAGTGTTGCAGTCAGCTTTTAGCACCACATGGCTTAAATGTGCTACAAACAGGAACTGGCAGAAGGAAATGAGCTGAGTTAAGCTGCGTCTCAAATGGCACACTATGCACTTATGCACTATCTACTTATGCACTTACACACTTAACAAGATAGTATATGTATGTAGTGTTGTCCCAAATGGAGCACTAATGTTTTTTTTTTACTAAGCGGAAATTCAAACCATTTCCCATATGACGTTTGCCAAATCATTGAAATAAATGACCAAACTATTAAATAATACATGAATAACACATGAGTGTTACCGCATTCACCATCGGGAGGCGCTATAATCTAGTAGTAGAATTTCGCTTTCACAGTCCAAAATAAATAAAGTTATCCAACATGTGCGCCCGATAGCTCCGCCCCTTCCACTACGTGAGCAAACCTGCGGTCGTTGAGTGCGTGAAGTGTCTCTCATTCCACACGTCATTTTACCGGCTGAATGAGTGCATCATCCGAGTAATTAAAGTGCACTTATTATTTTTTTTAGAGTTTTCAGTGTAAACGCACTACTTACACTATTTATACTACAAAATGGCGTAGAATAGTGCACATTTGGGATCTCCTTTAGTACTTCGTTGATGTCTCCCTCTGGTGGTTGGATTCTTTTTCTTTCTTGATTGAAGGGCAGATCACAACCAACTAGTTAAGGTGCATACCGCCACCTACTGTACAGTATGTGCAGCTTCACGGGTTCAAGTACATTAAATAAAAAAATAAATAAATTATAATAATAATAAAAAAACACCATCTACATTCTATGCTCCAGTCCTGTATCTCTGAGGAAGTTTAAAATAGTCTTGCTAATGGTGGTTGGATGAATGTGTGTGTTGTAGGGTTGGGCATCTAAGCTATAATGCCGATCCGATACGCATCTCGATACAAAGAATACGATCCGATATATTAGCGATACATTTGTGACATATTGCGATGCAACACGATACGATTCACACCCATATCACAATACGATGCGATATTTCAGCACTAACTAATTAGATCAAGTTTATGAGATGATGTGAAAGAGGATGCTGTGCCATTGAATGAGTTTGATTATTTATTAACCAAGCAAAACCAAGACTTTTTTTTACAAACTGGCTTTTCTCTCAGAGCCAGAGTGTCAGTTTACAGTAGAGGGCCATTTTAGAACATATAGCACATATTATTTAAGTATTTTCAAGATAAACAGAATGTATAAGTGCAATATATATTAAAAATATGTATATATTTGCACTCTTCCAACATAAATAAATTTAGCATTGCACAACAAGAATTGTGATTTAACTTTTCAACTATGAAAACAAGTTTTACAAAGATATATTTTGCCACTGATTATTCAAAACTTAAGGTCGTGAACTAGCAGTGTTATGCTGCTTTGAAACATCACTGTCACTGTAAACAACAGGCTAATAAAAATATAACAAACCAGCAATCTTCTTGCTGTGAGGTGGTCAAACTACCCACTGTGCCACCCTGACACCCATTATTTTTATCATTATTATTATTAATATTATTATCATTATAATTAAATAAAAATTAACAGGAGGAGGTGTTTAAAACCTTCGTTCTCCGTGACACTAGGCTGAATATCTTTGCAGATGAACAATGCAATAGCATTCGTTATTGGCGTAGAGCGAGCAGAACTGTTGCGCATAGAAAAAAAACTTGCAATGCTTTTCTCACCACTTTTGGAACTGGTTGAAGCAGTGCAGAAAGCCGGGGATGCAGAAACACTGGAAGATGCTTTCACAACAACACCATGGCGCCGCTTCAAGTGAGATTTCAGATTAGTCGTACTGCCCACGTATTTTACAGATGCGCGGCACATTTTGCAAATTGCATCTGTCCTGTCATGTTTTGTTTTGCTTCTCGCGCTTTCTGAGGGCGCTCCACTAGCTTCATCCGCACACCTGATACACTGAGTTGTAGTGTGTGCACATCCGCAAATCCGTTGCTAAGGCTTACTTTATGTAGGTCGCTTAAATTATGCGCCAAAAACAGGTTGACAACACTTGTTAATAAATAAAAAATACATTCTATATTAAAAATATAAGCTGTATCTCGGAAAAATCGATGCATCTCGCAAAAACCGATGCATCTCAATTTGCTTCCAAAATTTCATTCATCCTCTGCTGCTCAACCGATGCACTCGCATCGTGCACGCGCATGACCGCGTATCGATACATATCGGTTAATCTTCCCATCCCTAGTGTGTTGCATTAAAGGGGACCTATTATGCAAAAATGTGTTTAAACACAGTAGTTTGGCAACAATGTGTGATTATTGGTCGCCTCTAATTAAAAAAAATATTTAATTATTTATTTTTTTTATAATTACACTTCATAAAAAGTGTCTGCAGAAAAACTTTGACTGAAATTCTCCCTTTGTTGATGGTTTCTGAGGGGTAAAGCCCCACCCATTAGTGATGATCTCTCCCTCATTAGCATAAACAGCCCTGAGTGAGAAGCAGCTGCTGTGGTGACACACAACTGTTTATAGCTCCACGCTCTTTTGAAAAGAAGGCGTGGAGCACAATCTCATTTGAATTTAAAGCGACAGTCACCAAAACGCCACAATTTCGATCAAAGCCTAAAAGGGGCCATGTTATAAAACATTATCTATGTGGTATTTTGAGCTGAAACTTCAAATACACACTCTAGAGACATCACACACTTATTTTACAAAAAAATGCATAACAGAATTTTGGGCTGCAGAACAAACCGCTGTGGTCCAATAACTAGTTAACCTAATTAACCTATTTAAGCCTTTAAATTGCACTTGAAGCTGAACACTAGTAAGCAAGCAGAACAGCATGCAACAGCAAACATTTAAGAAATATCTGACAAAGAACTATTGTTTGTTTTTTTATCTATCAACTTTAAGTAAACCTATAAAATGTATGAGCTTTTGTATAGAATGTAAAATCATGTTTGGA